CCGCCCGCAGCCGGCGGGCAACAGGTGGGGACCCGGGTAACCTCACGTATTTCCAGGGGCGGGGGGAAAGGGGGCGCTCTGGGGAGCCGGGGGAAGGATTAGATCAGATGTTTCTGCTGGTGAAAAATTAAACAGAGCGGTGCTCCTGGGAGCACAGATTAATATATTTGGTGACTCGGCGTACACAAAGCCGCGCCATTGTAGCCGTGTCTGAATGCCTGTGAATAGGACGGAGCATATGTGGCCTGTCACCGCAGGTGCCCACATCTGTTCGTCTCCGGGCAGATGCTCTCAGAAAAGAGGAGCGCGTTTCCAAAAGCACAGGCCCGCCCCGTCCATACCCATCCTCTTTCTCATAATCACCTTCTGCAAAGGAGTTTCTGCCCCCCCGCCTGCACATCTGAGGCGCGGAGAGGGGCAGAAGGAAAGAAAAAGGCAAGGCAAATTGGAGGTGGCTCCGAAAGCCCTGGAAACGTATCGTCAACAGCACCCTCCTTCCAGAGTTAATTTCCAGCAGGTTCCAGCGTTGCAGCGGGAGCACAACGTGCAAGACGCGCGCGCCATGCGTGGGGGGCTGCACAAAGAGCCCTCATGGACGGAGCAGCACAGCACTGCACTGCACAGCACGGTGCTGCACTGCACGGCAGAGCGCTGCACAGCAGCATGCTGTGTTGGCCGTTGCAGGGGAAGAGATACCATGAGGAGTTCACTCTGGTTTATGATTAATTAAAGCGGGGAATGGAGAAGGGCTGTTTTCCTGATAGGAACTGGTCAACATAAGCAGTGTTGCTGCTGAAGTTGCATGTCCACCAAGGGAATATTCTCAGCCATCCAGCAAAATCTAGCAGCGGTGCAAAAAAAATATGTATTTTTTTTTACTGAAAAATGCTGTAACAGATGTTTTCTTCCTCATGTATACAAATTCGGACAGGTCACCGCTCCCTGCCCTTTGCTGTGGGGTTATGCTGGGAGCCAGAAGGGAAGGACGGGATGCTGGAGTATGGGATGCCTCTTGCGATGGTAAATTGTCTTGGTCGCCTCATTCACCTCATGCAAAGGTGACTGGTGCTTTCTAGCGGAGGCAGGAGCATGAGTGTGCTGGGGAAACAAGTTCGGAGCTAAGAGGGGAGGAAAGGGGCCGACAACACATGCACACCCACGAGCGGCCGGTTTTATCCACGGCACCTCCACGTCGGAAAGCCGCCGGGGAGCAGCGCAGACATGGATCGGCGCGGAGGGGAAGGGAAGGGCGCGCGCGTGGCG